TGTGTTAACCAATTGTGTATGTTGATTGCCCTGATCGTATTGTGTTTCGCCTCTCTACCGGGGACGAACCCCACCTGGTCAGTTGAGATAATAGGATCTATGATTGCGATTGCGATCTAAGCGATTGGCCAGTATCTTGGCGAAAATCTTTAGATCGACATTCAATAGGGATATCGGGCGATAGTTTACTGGCAATGTCTGGTCTTTATTTTCTTTAGGAATTAGTGTGATATGGGCTTCGGAGAGATAGCGCATGGATTGTCCTGGGGTATCTAGTAAGTTGAAAGCTTTTAGGAATGGGTGTGCTAGGACGTCAATGAAAGATTTGTAGTATGTAGTAGTAAGACCATCAGGCTTTTGCCTGGTTTTAATTGTGCAATGGCCTGTTGCAATTCTTCCAGCGTCAAAACACCATCTAATTCTTTGGCTTGTGACTGGGAGATGGGTTTAGGGAGGAATTGAGCAAGACTGGATGATGACCTTACGTGATCTAGTGTCCCCTGATGGTTTGGGTGATAATGGTAGGTTCTGTGTTTATTCATAACTGAAGCATAGTAAACTTTGTTTTCTTTGGGGGCCCTGTCAGGTTGGCTGTATGGGGCCCCATGGTTTCTAACAGCAGTCCTGGTGGTCACCATTAACTTTATATATAAGTAGATGCAAAGTAATACAGTGGTACCTCAGTTTACGAATTTAATGCGTTCTCTATGACGTTTTGCTTTGCGAAAAATTGGTAAACCGAAACGCGGCTTCCCATAGCAATGCATTGGAAAACACCTCCACACTTGATGCCACGTGCTACCCACAGACTCCAGCATGCATGGGGGCAGCGCTATAAACCTCCCAGGCACAATGCATCCTGGGCAAACTTGCTTCGTATTGCGAAAAAAAAATTCGTAAACCGAGGCATTATTTTCAATGGATTATCATTACATTAACTGAGGCGTTCGTAAAACCGAGGTACCACTGTGCTTCATCCAGTCCATTACAAATGTATGAGGGTATATTCATGATTACAGCAGCAATTCCAGTCACTAGACCAGGCCGTAAGAATCAAATAAAATCCTTCACTCTATACAGTATATAAACATCTTGCGTCAAAAGGAAAAGGAAGACCATGAAACTTAATTCTAATCAGTACACCAGGCCGATGCTTCATTGGTGCAATGAGAGGGAAAGAAAGGATTATTTTTCCATTAGTACGGTCACAGTTCAGCTCCTGGAGACCATGGACCCTGTAGAGGATGGTAGGTACCCCTGCTGCAACGCTTCTTGTTCTGTGTGGCCACCATTGGTTTTATACCTAAGCAGATGCAAAGTAATATTTCATCCAGTCCATTAGAAATGTATGAGTGTATGTTCATGATTACAGCAGCAATTCCGGTCATTAGACCAAGCTGGAAGTGCCAAATAATATCCTTCACTTTACATATGAATATCTTGCATCAAAAGGAAAACGTCAGCTTACCAGGTTAGTTCCATTCATGATGGGAAAGGAAATAGCATGTCATTTATCACTTTCTATCTTCCAGTTGAGTGCGAATAGCGAGTGTATTCACTTGCAGAGCACAGATTTGCCAGTCTAGTGTGCGTTACAGGTGTGATTTATAGAGTCACACTGAGCAAGTCGCAGTTCTTTTACCATCTGATTCACTTTATCAGACCATCTAAAAACATTATGTTCCAGAAAGCAGAAGCGTCCAGTAGACTCTCTGGGCATTTGAGGATCTAATGTGCTGCAGCCAGGCTCCTCAATGGGGCTTTTAATAAGTTCATTGCCCTTCACGCTGGTTATATCTCTGTAAGACTCGCCTCTTCTCCCATCTTTCACGGGAATGAGGAGATTTGAACACGGGACGCATGCTGCACCCATTAATTCAGTAAGGACCAAGAGAGATTTGCCAGAGTTATTTTTAAAGGTGAAATGTGTGTAGCGATCAGGAGCGTTCTGCCTCATTATATCGCAGCCATTTCTCGATACGGCAGATTTGTTTAATAGGCGAGAATCAGTAGATTAAGCATTTATGACTAATATTCCCTGGATATAAGCCTTGTATTATGTCTAACCTGGATAAATTATGAATCGTTAGGGCACTCACTGTTAAACAGCTCCTTTCTATGGGTTATAACAAGCAGCGATGCAGAGGTGCTGATTATTCCTTTATTGCTGGAGGGGCCAGGGATGAATACATAAGACATACTGTATATACACTCACTGGGCTCATGCACACATTCATTTAATTGTAGCTCATTTTAAGGCTTTGGATGTTGAGTAGGATGAATGGTAATAGATGTCTGATGTGATTTTCTTCTAATTGTACAGTGTTTGGTAATAACAGCAATGGCACTATTAGTCTATTAATGTCTTTGGCACTGAGCTTTTCATGTCAGGTTAACCTTTGCATTTGCATTGTAGCATGGTGCTTAAGTAGGATGGAACATGTAATTAGGATATGCATTGTAATAGACATGTAGCAAAAGTATGCCTGTTCGTTGAACAGTAGAAACATAAAAATGTAGCATGGTACGATGGAACATGTAATTGGAATGTGCATTATAACAGACAATATTTTGCTTGGAGATAAATTCACCGGGAATATCTGTAATGTTATACATCAGGGATGTTACCAATGTTTTCATTTATCTTAATGGTGTACATTACACTTGAGGAAGTAGAAGGTTGAAGCAGACCTATTCTCGAATGCTAAAATGAAGCTATGGGGTTATTTACTTAAACTGGTGAGTGCAAAATCTGGTGCAGCTGTGTATAGAATCCAATCAGCTTCCAGGTTTTATTGTCAAAGCTTAAAGCGGAGTTCCACCTAAAAAATTATAAAAGTCAGCAGCTACAAAAACTGTAGATGCTGACTTTTAAAATACTGCCGCTTACCTGTCCCTCGATCCAGCGGTGTCTTTACCACTGCTGATTTCACTGGCCATCTTTTCTCCCTGGCGCCGGCATTTGTAGTGTGGGCATCCGGCTGTGACAGCTTGCGGCTTCACAGCCGGGTGCCCACTGCGCATGCATGAGAAGCGCTGCGCTTTGTGAATGGCCCTGTTGTCCTCTGGGACCTATCACGTGTCCAAGAAGACTACAGGGACGGAGGGGGGGGGACAACCTCCGCTTCCATCGCGCCTTAGGCGATTGCAGCCGAAGTGGGAGCGGGTACCTGACAAATTTGGGTACCCGCTCCCCAAAGGTGCCAATCCTTAATGGGGAGCGGGGGACAAAGTCCTAAGGCAGAACTTCCCCTTTTGGATGGAGCTCCGCTTTAAATGAACTAGCTGAAGTTAGAAGCTGATTGGTTATCGTGCACAGCTGCACCAGATTCTGAGTGCACCAGTAATAGAAGGTCTGAAATGCTTTCCTTTCCTGGAGAAAATGCTGCACCAGACTCTCTCCAGTGCTGCTTACATAACAAGCTAGGCATTGCATCATAATAAGGTGAAGGCTTATGTAGCCAAGAACTTGGCTGTAGGAGCAAGCTGTAACACTGTCTGCAGCTGCCCTTGAACCATGACCAAATAGACAAGCTGGACTTCCATCAGCATCTCCCATCAGCAAGGCGAATCAGCAGCACCCCATAGACTTTAAAGCTGACTGCAATAGAGTGTGGGTATTGAAGTTAAGGAAGGAAGAGTTATTGTGGACTTCCATTACTCAGTGGACTTTAGCTCCCAGGGGAGGCCAAGACAGGAAGAAAAGAGCGGTATTTTCTCAGGCTTCAGTTTAAATAGTGCAGCCCCTGTCCTGACTTGCTGGTAGCTGGTGCAGAGGCCTCAGGTTTACAGCTGGGAGGTGAAAGAGAGATAGAGAGGATCAGGGAGCGTGGGGACTGGGACTGTGTCATTACCAGAGGAAGCCTCGCACTGCACTGATGTTAGAGCTGTACCACTGGATAAACAGAGGACCCCCTATATGGCATGGGACTTCCATGGTCGTATCACTGGACTGGAGGAAGGGCCAAGTGGCCACATTCTTCTGTCTTTGTCTTTATGGGAAACAAAGCTTAAAAGGACCAGGCACTTACCCAATAGCTTATAATACATGCAAACTCCCATGAAAACTATGCACCAACGGCAAGATGGGGTTCAAAATTAGCCAGCTAGAGGGAAATGTGTAGGACTGTCCATCCAGATAAGCCTCCCTACAAGAACTCCTAGTATTGCCAGTGGAAGTAGGAATAGTTCTGCAGTAGACCTGAGCTTTAGTCTAACCATCTCTACAGTACACCCCATAGTAGTTATAGAATTACCATTCACATTGCAGTTGATGCACTACTATTTTTCACATAAGAAATATTTTTTCAGAGTAGTACATTTTCACTGTTTAGTTCAGATGTACTTTAATGAAAATGTCCATTAAAATGTAGATTTTTAGTTTGGAGTATAAAGTGAATGTTGATTGCACAAGTCCAGAAAAGACAATGCTGATGAACAGGTCACACAGTCAAGATCTGGTGAGTATAAGACTGGTAGGTGGGCTGTAAATAAATATTACACTTTAAAGCAATCTTCTTATAGAAAGCAAATAACCCCGCCAACACATAGCAGCCACTCTCCGGTCATCTTTATGACCCGTACACACAATAACAAAATCGTACGAAAATTTCCGTACGAGGAACGATCAGCCGATTATCTGTTAGTATAGTGCCGATTCCAACTTTTTGGACAACAAAAACCAAAGGTGGAAGCTAGAAAATGTTTATTTTAAGTGAACACAACGTCCAGTTTTTGTTTAATGTGTACAGTAATCGGAAGGAAATAATCAAACAAAAAAAAAGAGCATGATCAGAATTAAAGAATGAACCCACACTTCCTATTCTACTACGCTAATACATAGCTATGTTTGCCTTTGTCGGCTGGGAATTTTCTTACAAGTCAATAATATTCCGATTACATCATGATTTGTACTTTTGTGGAAAAATCGGACGATTGGTCATCTGACATTCTCATAGTGTGTACTAGGCTTAATGAGCCACAGAAAAAAACAACTTCTACTATGGACTCTTTTCCCTATCCCACAATGCAGTGCCCAGGGCCTCAGTAAGCTTTCAGCGGGTCCAAGCACTGTGGGTATGCCTAGCTAAATGCAGTTATCGACTTTACAGGAAGTTTGTCTTTTCCTAAGATCTTTGGGGGAAGCAGCAGTCCACAGTCTCTGGTCATCTCCTGTACTATGTGCGCAGTCTCTGGTCATCTCCTGTCATCTGTACTATGTGCGCAGTCTCTGGTCATCTCCTGTACTATGTGCGCAGTCTCTGGTCATCTCCTGTACTATGTGCGCAGTCTCTGGTCATCTCCTGTACTGTGTCGGCAGTCTCTGGTCATCTCCTGTACTGTGTCCGCAGTCTCTGGTCATCTCCTGTACTGTGTCCGCAGTCTCTGGTCATCTCCTGTACTGTGTCCGCAGTCTCTGGTCATCTCCTGTACTATGTGCGCAGTCTCTGGTCATCTCCTGTACTATGTGCGCGGTCTCTGGTCATCTCCTGTACTATGTCCGCGTCTCTGGTCATCTCCTGTACTATGTCCGCAGTCTCTGGTCATCTCCTGTACTATGTCCGCAGTCTCTGGTCATCTCCTGTACTATGTCCGCAGTCTCTGGTCATCTCCTGTAGTATGTCCACAGCTCTGGTCATCTCCTGTACTATGTCTGCAGTCTCTGGTCATCCCCTGTACTGTCTGCAGTCTCTGGTCATCCCCTGTACTGTCTGCAGTCTCTGGTCATCCACTGTACTGTCTGCAGTCTCTGGTCATCCCCTGTACTGTCTGCAGTCTCTGGTCATCCCCTGTACTGTGTCTGCAGTCTCTGGTCATCTCCTGTACTGTGTCCGCAGTCTCTGGTCATCTCCTGTACTATGTCTGCAGTCTATGGTCATCTGTAGTATGTCCGCAGTGTCTGGTCATCTCCTGTACTATGCCCGCAGTTTCTGGTCATCTCCTGTAGTATGTTCGCAGTCTCTGGTCATCTCCTGTAGTATTTCCGCAGTCTCTGGTTATCTCCTGTGCTATCTCCGCAGTCTCTGGTTATCTCCTGTACTGTGTCCGCAGTCTCTGGTTATCTCCTGTACTGTGTCCGCAGTCTCTGGTTATCACCTGTACTGTGTCCGCAGTCTCTGGTTATCTCCTGTACTGTGCCCGCAGTCTCTGGTCATCTCCTGTACTGTGTCCACAGTCTCTGGTCATCTCCTGTACTATGTCCGCAGTCTCTGGTCATTTCCTGTACTATGTCTGCAGTCTCTAGTCATCTGTAGTATGTCTGCAGTCTCTGGTCATCTCCTGTACTGTGTGTGCGGTCTCTGGTCATCTCCTGTACTATGTCCGCAGTCTCTGGTCATCTCCTGTACTGTGTCCGCAGTCTCTGGTCATCTGTACTGTGTCCGCAGTCTCTGGCAATCTCCTGTACTGTGTCCTCAGTCTCTGACCATCTCCTGTACTATGTCCTCAGTCTCTGACCATCTCTGTACTATGTCTGCAGTCTCTGGTCATCTCCTGTACTATATCCTCAGTCTCTGGCCATCTCCTGTACTATGTCTGCAGTCTCTGGTCATTTCCTGTACTATGTCTGCAGTCCATTGGTTCAGAATATTTTTTTCTTGTTTTTCTCCTCGAAAATCTAGGTGCGTCTTATTGTCAGGTGTGTCTTATGGAGAGAAAAAATACGGTAATCTAAGAGTTAGTACACTTGCACAAAATAAACTACGTTCTGACTTTATTGTTAATATGGGTTTTGGATAATACTGTATCACAGAGATGCAATGAATCTAGAAGTGTGGTAATGAATATATTATTGTATTTAATACTACAACACTACTTGTACTATTAATGCCTAATGTGTCCATCTGCCATAGCCCTATAATACTGGTGACATTTAGTAGTGTTTGGCCTGTTCCTATGGTGGAATCATTTTGTTTCTAGAGCAGAAGCATAGTCTAGATCAGGGGTCTCCAAACTGTGGCCCTCCAGCTGTTGAAGTACTACAAGTCCCATCATGCCTCTCGGAGTTTAGCCTGTGGCTATCAGTCTTGTAAGGCCTCATGGGACTTGCAGTTCCTCAACACCTGGAGGGCCATAGATTGGAGTCCCCTGGTCTAGATCCATGTCTGCTTCACAAGCCTGTGTTAGAGCAGGTGCATTCATAAAAGAATTAGGAGGAGCAGTGCATTCCACATTCCTTGCCTGGCTGCGAATCCCACATCTGAGGTTCTTTCCTCCCACCCTGTGGTTTTTTCGTTACTTCTCTGCAAGTCAGGCTTTTCCTTTGTGTTCCTCTGTAAGAAATCTGAGATGGGGATAATCAGTGCAAGCTGCTAATGCTTAGTTCTGCCCATAAAATGAATGTGAGTTTAGTAAAAGATAACTGCACAACACTGTCTCAGCATCTGCACCTGTGTGAGACTCCAGGTACAACAAGATGCTTTACAAATCAGATGTTCACCCAAGCACCACATTTATATTTTGGTTTGTGTTCAGTGACAATAGCAGAGGCAGCTAAGTGTTACTGCTGCTAGGCATATATCTATAGCCCATAATGAAGAATGATTGTTATAGAGTCTTTTTTTCTTTTTTTTTTGGCTAAAGTAGACAATAGTGAAAAAGCGTGGCAGTTTTTTTTTTTTTTTGCCCTCTGTGTCCCATTCAGGAGATTTCACTTAATTTCCTGTAGGACACACCAGAAAGTGAGAGAAATCCCCTCTTATTCATCACATGAACAAGTGTAGGCATTGGACGATTTTCTAGTAACAACCTAAAATATTGGATTTTCCCTCCCTTTGTTTACAAAGACAAACTGATAGGGTGATTTTCCCTACTAACCTAGTCATTATAAAGTAGTGTACATTTCCTGCACCATTTCACACACAAATTTGCATTATTATATTATATTATAATTTTGGCTGATTCCTGAATATGCTGTAATTCAATGTACCAATTCATTGGGGTCAGTTGAAAAAGTACCCCGCACATTGGTGGTCAGTGGGAAGAATGCCCTCCCATATGGAAGAAAAGTATATTTGAAATATATTTTAAAAATAGTCTTCCCAAATATATTGCCATATATTTGAAATGCTACAATTTTAGCCATATTCAATATATTTCAAAATATATTTCAATATATATATATATATATACTGTATATATATATGTATATATCCATATATATATATCTATATATATATGTATATATCTATATATATATATATATATATATATATATATATATTTTATGTTGAAATGCGTTTTTATTACAAACTATATGAAAAATATTTTCAAAAATACATTTCAAATATACTGTATGTCTTTAAAAATACAAATCTGCATTTTTGGAATGCATTTACAAATATATGTAAAAAATATATGTTAAAATGACTTTTTTATATCTTAAAAAAAATCTGAAGAATATATGAAAAAAAATATATATTTTTAAAAAATATATATTTTTTTAAATTTATCCTTCAGATTTTTTTTTTTTACATATAAAAAAGTCATTTTAACATATATTTTTATATATTTGTAAATGCATTCCAAAAATGCAGATTTGTATTTTTAAAGACATACGGTATATTTGAAATGTATTCTTAAAAATATTTTTCATATATTTTGTAATAAAAACACATTTCAACATGCAGTGTATATACTGTGTGTGTGTGTGTGTGTGTATGTATGTATATATATATATATATATATATATATATATATATATATATATATATATATATATATATATATATAGAATATGGCCAAAATTGGAGCATTTTAGGAAGTATATTTTTAAAATATATTTCAAATATATTTTTCTTCCATGTGGGTTACATTGATGGTCTGGGGGAAGAATGCCTCCCTTAGAGTGGTGGTCACAATGCCACCCTTTCAGGTAGTTAAAAAGATCCTTGATGTCATGCCTTTGACTCTGTGGTTTTGGCCATGGCAGGTACCATCAAATGGGAGGTGAGTTAGCCACATCTCAAGTAACCTCTAGCAACCCCCAGAGGAACCCTAGTTAAGAATGACTGCACAAAGGTTTAAGTATGGTGCACCCATGGAAGCCACAGGGGCACCCCCCAGCCCCTCAAGTAACCTCTAGCAATCCCCTTCATGGAACCCTAGTTAAGAATAACTGCACAAAGGTTCACATCTCAAGTAACCTCTAGCAACCCCTTCATGGAACCCTAGTTAAGAATGACTGCACAAAGGTTTAAGTATGGTGCACCCATGGAAGCCACAGGGGCACCCCCCAGCCCCACTGCCGAAGACTGAAAAATCTATGAGAGGCTGGAAGCTGCTTTAATTTGATGGGGCTGAATGGTGCACCAGGCAATACTAACATATAGAGGCACATGCATCCCACATATAGAGAGATGAACACATGAAATGCAGACTGGTTCCATTTCAGGCAATCGTCCCTGAGTGCATACTGCCCTGAACTTTACTAGCACTCAGTGCACTGTCCAGTCCTGTCCAGCTGCAGCAACAGTCAGTCTCTCATAGACCCTTAGGCATGCTGGTAATAGGGTTGGATGATGCACCTGTGCCTTCTACCCGCACCAAAACACTGGATGCGTCAGGGCTCAACGCCCGGTCTAAGAGATTTATTAATTTTGTTCAGAGGCACAGCTGCTCATTCTATGCATTATGTGCCTTCAGAAGAATGTCGGCTATGTAAGTGCTGGCTATTATTCCACATTTTTTGTAGCGGAAAACATCTTTGTTGGTTTGTCAGTGTTAATAATTGACCTGATTAACCAACAAGTACATTTCCATCACTGGGACGTGCAGGAAATTGGTGCGCAAAACCTAACCCTACCACCAAATACAGAACTGTTTTTTAGAATATTATAAAATATTGTTAAAGGCTTCATGCACACTAAGCTAAAAAAAAAAAAACGCTAGAAAAAATACTGGTAATGCTGGTAATAGAGGTTTTTTGTAGCATGTAAGGAGTGTTAGCGTTTTATTAGCGTTTTTACAGTACATATACAGGAAAAAAATAAAAGCTGGAAAAAAGCTGTAGCATTTAGCAGCATTTATTGTTTTTTTTCTCCAAAAAACTCTAAAAAAAAACTTTTTTTTTTTGCTCCTAGACGCTGAAGCTCAAAAAATGCTAATAGCCTAAAGCAGTGTGCATGGACACATAGGAGAACACTGTTTAGGTAATAACAAAATGCTAATAACAGCTTAACAAATTGCTTAAATACAAAAAAAATCGATGTCTTCCTCTACTGTGTGTAATGGTGAATATTGCCCTAAAGAAGTACATATATCTTCTTGTTGATTTTGTGTGCTTAAAGTGTTACTAAACTCAAAAACAAAAATGTAATATATTTCAGCTAACCAAGCCTTACATATGGTGGCTGCATTTGTTTTCTTTTTTTTAGGCTTTTTTTATTCACCTGGTGATCCAGTCAGTAACACACATCCTGCATTACAGTGCCTCCACTCTGGATGGAGGAGCAACAGAGCCATCCTTGGACAGAAGAACTACCAGCCTGTGGAGAGGGTAGTGTTAGATGCAACAGCAGATTTAGGTAGACTTGACTAGTAAATCAAAGCCGAACTCCTGCTAACGCTTTTTAAGCAGCAACAGTTTTTTTTTTTTTTTCCTCCTGGGATAAAGG